CGCACATGTTGGGTGCATCTCTTCTGGGTCCGAGCACGGGGATGACTCCATCCTGTCCGTGGCTCGGCGGATGTTGCTGTGGCTTTGAGCGTAGGCTCAGGGCCCCAACATCCTCTCTTTTGGCGTTGGGTGCGCTTCTCGTGCGTGTGTGCGCTGCGCGTCCCACGGCCCCTGCCCTCCTCGTCTCGGTGCCATCGCGGCCCTCGTGGGAGGGCGCTGTCTCGCCTGTGGCCCCTCTTGCACAGCCGAAGGCAGTCGGCTCGAGGTAGCGTCCAGCTGCAGTCTCCCTGCAGCTGGCTTTCTTTTTGCGCTTGCAGCTCGGGGTCCCCTTGGTCACGTGTGCCTGCCCCCCCTCTCTTGGAGATGTTGTGGCAGGTGCACGTTGTGCTTGGGCACTTGCGCGTGGCCTCGGCCCCGAGCTGTCTCTTTGGCGCTGACGGGTAGAGGTCTCAGGCGACGGCGCATAACTTTGGCACGGTTGTTTGCCTCTTTCCCACAGCTTGCAGGTCCCGCCCTGCCAGCTGGTTGCACTATGCGGTGGATCCGTAGAGGTCAAAAGGGCTATCCACCCCTCACGCCTCCGCCGACCGTGCTCGCCATTCGGTTGGCGGCCCCGATCTCGGTGCAGGCCTCGCGGCCACGTCCCGTTCTGCGGCAGGCCTCGCGGCCACGTCTTCTGCTCAATATATATATATATATATACATATAACGGCGCACCGGGTCCGGGGGCCCGGGGCTGGGACCCCGACCGCAAATGTGGGCCCCGGGGGGCCCGGAGGCTCGTCGGACCGCCGGACGCCGTCCAAGATCGTTCGCAGGCGGCTTCGGAACGCGCTCCGATGCCTCCAGATGCCTTCCAAGACGCCTGTCATGACACCAAGAAGGTCCCAGAAGCCTCCAAGACGCTCCGAGAGGCAGCCCAAGAGAGGCCCAAGAAGCAAACATCGTGCCATTCCTATGGGAAAAGGTATATTTTTCGCAAGTTCGCCTCTTGGGCTTTCACCGCGTCCAAGACGGCCCAAGAGGCGCCCAAGACGGTCTACGAGGCCTCCGGGAGCGCTCCAAGGCTGCGCACGAGTGGCCCAGGACGGCCCCAAGACGGCCCAAGAGAGCCCCAAGACGAGTTCGAGAGGGGTCCCAGACGGAGAAAGCCAACCTCGAATTCCGAGCTTCCGGCCCAAGAGGCTCCAGGAGGCGCCAAAATGCCGCCAAGAGGCGCCAAAAGGCTCCCAAAAGCACCCCAAGACGTTCCGAGAGGCACCCCAAGAGAGGTCCAAGAAACAAAAATCGTGCCATTCCTATGGGAAATACCTTTTATATATATGTATGTATGTATATATATATATATATATATATATATATATAGATAAAGTTATAACGCCGCACCGGGCCCGGGGGCCCCGGGGCCGCAGCCCCGACCGCAAACGGGGGGACGTCGGGCCCAGCCCGCTCCCCGGCGGGCCCCAGGTCGCCCCCCGGAGCGCCCAGACGGCCGTCCAGGCGGCTTCAGGCCGCCCACAGCCACCCTGAAGACAACCTCCAGCGGTCTCCGGCGGCTCAAGAGGCGTCTCGAACCGCCCCAGACCGCCCCAGACGCCTCCAAGACGCTCGAAGACCCCTCCAAGAGATCCCCCCAGACGGCCCTGGGAAGCAAAAATAGCCCCGCGCCCGTCGTAAAACGTACATTTTTACCAGATTCGATTTTTTGGCGTTCGTACCATCCTTTACGACCTCCGACTCTCCATCGACCGCCCCAAGACGGCCCACGAAGCCCACAAGAGAGCCCCAAGACGGCCCCAGAGGGGCCCCGGACAGTCCAAGAGGCGCCCAGGACGGCCCAAACGCGGCCCCGAAGGGCCCCAAGAGGGGCCCAAGAGGGGACACCCAACTGAACCTTCCAGCCCCCCCGCCCCAGGAGGCCCCCAAGAGGCCCCTAAGAGACTCCCAAGATGCCCAAAGAGGCCCCCAAGACGCCCGCGGCAGGCCCCCAAGGGCTTCCAGAGGCCCCCCCAAGAGGCTTCCAAGAGGCACCCCGAGGTTCGCAGGAAGCCCCCAGGAGACCCCCAAGAGGGCCCCAACGGGCTTCTGAGAGGCTTCCCCAGACACCTTCATGTACGTCTACATGTGCCCTCCGGTCCAAAAACCTGAGACCGTTCCTGGGACGCCGCCTGATTGGCACATGTTTTCTTTGTCTCTGTCAATGGGTGGAGCGGCAGCGACCCTTGTCGCTGGGTCCGGGGGAGCAGGCCCGGGGCCCGAAAATTTGGCGAGAAGGGCTTGCACGAACAGATTTTTAGAGACCACCTGCCCGTGGAACTGGCGACGCTGGGTGGCTTCATAGTTTCACAGTGCCTGGCGGCGGCAGCGTCGGCGCTTACTTTTCCTGCCCATGCACCTCTCTCTTCGGGGCCAGGGCCCGCTGTTGGGGGCGGCCACACAGGTCCCAGGCCGATCAGACAGCCGTCCCGACGGACCAAGACCGCCCCGAGCTGCCCTGAAGACGGCTTCCAGAGGTTCCAGACGGCCCAAGAAGGTTCAAACAGCAGCCCGGCGAGTGCTCCGAGAGGCCAAATTTAGATATTTTCCTTTCGTTTTTGACGGATTTCGGGCTTCCAACGCTCCCAGACGGGTCAAGAGGTTCCTCAGACCGCCGTCAAGGCGGCTCTAGAGGGGAGGCGTCCACGACGATCCAAGACCAATCCAAGAGGACCCGCAAGAGTGCTCCATCCCCTTAGGAATACTTGCACTTTTTAGTATATTTTTTTTGCTTTAACGCAGTCGAAGACAACCCCAGAGGTCTCCAGAAACGCCCACAGACTGCCCATGAGGCTCTCAAGAGTGCCCCTAGACGGCTCAAGAGGGCCCCAAGATGGACCAAGAAAACCCGAAGACGGCCCAAGAGGGCCCCAGGATGGAGGGGTAATACGCGCTGCTATTTGGAACCCTCTGCCCAAAAATGACCCCCGAGGCCGCCTATAGGTGCCCAACAGGGCAGGCCGAAAGAGGCCCCTGGGAGGCCCAAAAGAAAACACAAAGAGGCTCTCAAGAGACCCCAGGAGGACTCCGGGAAACCTCCAGGAGACTCCGAAGAGGCTCCAATTGGGCTCCGAGAGACTTCGAAAGAGACCTGGGCCCCAAGATGCCCCAACATGGTTGGTAAGCTATCACAGCGTGAGGAGACAACACGAAAACGGTCTGGGCACGTCCCAGCAGGACCCGAGACGGCTCAAGAGAGTTCCTGTTTCTTCCATATGTCTTTCTGCCTCCTGTTTGTCTTTCCTCGTCCCGCCTGCACGTGCTCCGCCAGCCGGCGTGACAGCGCGTGCATGCCGTTTCAAGGCGGCTTTCTCTCCGTGCTCCGTTACCGCTCCTTCGTCCTGCACATGCTCCGCCAGTTGGCGTGTCAGCGCGTGCATTTTATAGCACGGCTGTGTTCCTCCTTCGTCCGTCTTTCTTCGATCTTCCTGCAAGTGCTCCACCACCCGGCGTGACAGCGCGTGCATTATGTGTTAAGGCAGTTTGTTCTCCGTCCTCTGAGTTTCTTCTGCACGTGCTCCGCCAGCTGGCGTGGCAGCGCGTGCATTTTATTTCAGGGCAGTTTTCGTCTCGTCCTCCGTCATTCCTCGTCCCTCCCGCACATGTTCGGCAAGACAAGCCAAGGACATGTGACGACATCCAAAGACCAGCAACCTACGGCCTCGACATTTCATCATAAAGCCAGTCAATGCCCCAAGCCTGTTCAGCGATCTCCCCGACGAACCCACAAGCCAAGACCTGCGCGTCGTGACAACGAAGAGGCAACCCTGGACGGCGCCATCGGGGCCACAAACACCTGCCCCCCCCCCAAGAGCGCCTGAAAAGCCCAAAAGCCAGCCCAAGAGAGCCCTGCGACATCCCATAACCGGCCCACGACGGATACAACTCCTCTCCGATTGCGAGTCGCCTGGAAACCCCGACCTCCGTTTCATCACAGCGCCATGGGCTGGACTAGAACCTAAGCGCGCGCGAAGCGCGCGCGTGGTTCTAGTATATATATATACACATATATATATATGTATACTATATATACTATACATACATACATACATACATACATACATACATACATACATACATACATACATACAAACATACATACATACATACATACATACATACATACACACACATACATTCATTCATTCATTCATACATACATGCACACACAGACATACATACATACATACATACACACATATTTTTACATACATGCATACATACACACATATATATACATACATACATACATACATACATACATACATACATACATACATACACACACATGCATACACACATACATACATACATACATACATACATACATACATACATACATACATACATACATACATACATACACACACATACATACATACATACATACATACATACATACAAACATACATACATACATACATACATACATACATACATACATACATGCATCATATATATATATGTGTGTATATATACACCCATATATATATATATATATATATATGGTCGATCCCCCCCAGCGACCCCCCAGAGCGCCCAAAGCACGAATACACAAATCAACTTTGGCCTGCCATCCAGGCTGACGAACTCATCCGCTCGGCCCATCCGTCACGGGCACCGTGCGCGCAAGCATATCGGTTTCGGCCGAGGCCACGAAACACTGTGTATCACAGGTTTTTCTGGTTTTTCTGGTCTGGGAACCAACGAAACACTGCGTATCACATGTTTTTCTGGTTTTTCTGGTTTCTGGAGCTGAAATGCTCGCCGCGGCCTCGCCCCACCGCTCCCCCACCTCCTGTTTGTCGGCACCTGAAAACCAGAAAAACCAGAAAAACCTGTGATATACAATGTTTCGTTGGTTCCCAGACCAGAAAAACCAGAAAAACCTGTGATACACAGTGTTTCGTGGCCTCCGAGCAAGAAAACACTGTGTACTCTTCGGGGACTACAGCGCTCGCCGCTCACTGGCAGTGCTCCTTGAGGAAGGCCTCCTCCAGCATCTTCCCTGTTGCCAGCCACAAATCCTCGCCCCTGTGCCAGTACAACCACTGGTAGGAGCGGATCTTGTTGGTCAGCGCCTTGGTGTTCACTGTCTTCTTATTCCCTAAGTGTTTCCGCAGCTCGCCCCAGATGCGGTCGATGATCTGGGTGCCAGCTTTAACCCAAACGCGCTTGGTCTTGTTGGGCTTGCTGTCATCTGGAACATCGTGGTGGGTGATCTAGGTGAACTTAGGCTTGATCCACACCCACTTACCCGTGACCATGACGCGCTTCTTGGCGTGGACAACCCAATCATGCTTGACCCCTTCGAGCTTCAGCTTATAACTCCTGGCCCCGTCCGTGTGCAGTATGATGTTGCGCTTGTGGACCCACTTGTAGGCCAGAGGCTTCCAATCGCGCTTGCGGATCGGGCCTGGGCCTGGCGCCCGCCTCTTTGTCTTCGCTGGGTCCAGCTTGAACAAGACGAGGGATTTCTGGTCGCCGCGCTGAACCATGCCGCCCCATTGCTCCCAGATGACAGGCTTGTCAGTCGCAGCGTCTGTGTTGGGGTCTTCTCCTTTGGCGATGTCCATGGAAGTGAAGGGGGAGGATGAGGGAGAGTAAGATGAGGAGGAATACTTCTCGGGTCACAGCCCGCTGTGACAGACCATGTGTCTGCGGCTGTTCGGTGCCAGCATCTCAAGACCGCGGCTTTGTGTTTTGGGCGTTTTGGGGGGTCGCTGGGGGGGGGACCGAGCTTATACATATATATATATATATATATATATATATATATATCTGCCGGCGGAGCAGGAGCGAGGCCGCCAGGAGTGGACCTGCGCCCCCCCATGGGGGCTCCAGGGCTCACTTTCCGTGTTGTTTTACAGGGTTTCGGCGTTACAGGGCCTCCGAGGGGCCCCCAGGAGGGCCCCGGGGCGCCCACGGCGGCCCAAGGGGGCCCAAAGACGGCCCCAAGAAGGGCTCCAGAGGGGAAGCACGAATCGAAAGTTCGAGCCTTCGCCCCAAGATGCCGTCAGGAGGCCCCGAAGGGGCCCCGAGAGGCTCCCACGCGGCTTTAAGAGGCTCCCAAGAGGCCCCCACGACGCCCCAGAATGCCCCCAAACAACCCCAAAGAGGTGCTCAAAGAGGGGGTCCCCAGGCGGGTCAGCGCTCCCGAAAGGCGCCCAAGAGGCCCCAAGCAACCCCAGGATGCCACGCTCAAGACAGCCCCAGAGGGCCCCAGGAAGCTCTCTAGGATACCACCGACAAGCCAAAAACATTTACACACCCATAGGGGTTCAGTGATTTTTGCCTCGTTGCCTTTTCGCCCCCGATGGTCTGCTGAGGCCCCCAGATCGCCCCAAAGAGGCCCCTCGACGCCCCACGAAGCGCGCAAGAGGCCCTGCGAAGCCCCAACACGCCCTCAACGGGGACCCGAAATCGCTCCTGAGAGGTGCCGGACATCCATCAAGGCGGCCCAAGAGAACCTCCAAGCGCACCCAGGCATCTGCGTCAAACCTCCGGTGCTTCCCCCTGGGGCTTCCAAGAACGCCCCAAATTGGCTTCAAGATGCCTCGGGACGCTTCCGACAGGCAAGAGAGCTCCCCAAAAGAGCCTCCAGACGGCCCAAGAAGCCCGCACCCGCCCCCAAAAGGGCGCCAAGAGACCTCCCAGTGGTCCCCAAGACCGCCGACGAGAGCGCCAATTTCCAAACACCTCAAGGACATCAATCGATAACTTTGGCCATTCCGCTTGTTTGCCTCCGGCACCATTCCGGGGCTGACGCATGACCCCCACGAGAACGCCAAGATACCCTCCAAAGAGGCCCCAAGCAGCCCCAGGAGGCCACAAGAGGCTCCCAAGACGCCCGAAAAGGCACCCTCGATGCACCAACAAGGCTTCAAGAGTCCCGAAGAGCTTCCGAAGAGCCCCCAGGAGGCGTTGAAGAAGGCCCGAGAAAGATCCTAAGATTTCAGCGTTCTCGCTTTTCTGAGCTCCTGACGACTCAAGACGCCCACAGGCGGCCCCCAAACGGCTCCAGTGACCCCGTAGAGAACCTCAAAACGGCCCCAAAGGACCCCTCCATGCCCGCGAAAGGGTCCAACACGCCTCCAGGCGAGCCCACTGGAGCGGCAACACAGACGCCGACCCCGCCAGCCCAGCCCTAAGAGGCTTCCAAGGAGCCACCACAGGACATTTGCCCGTTCGCGTTCACACGGTGGAGATGTCTAAAGCGTGGCCCCTCCGGATGCGCATCTGGAGTCGCCACTGTCGCGCTCCGCGCGCCAGGGAGTGGGGGTCCAGCGCAGATCCAAGAAATCCGCGCGGAGCGCCAAAAGTTCAAATGTTTATTCAGTTTTTTGCTCCTTCTGCTGTTGCAGCAGCAGATTATGAGAGGCTCCGCTCAGTGCTTTGTGGTGGTTCACGGTGCTCTGACCTGTCATGCTCGGCGCGGGCGGATTTTCGCGCAGCTGCGGCCTGCAGTCTGCAGGCCTTGTGCACGACTTGGCATCTCGCAGCCCACTCTTCCTTCTCCTCTTCTTCCTCCTTATCTTCCTCCTCAGATCCGAGTTTGCTCAGATCCGAGTCATCAGATCCTCCCAGGTTTCGCCTCGCATCCGATTCTCCTCCCTCGAGAGCTTCGTGGTCACCGCGATATCTCAGGCATAGCACTTGAGTACCCCATAGAGGAGCCTCTGGGAGGAGGATATTCTCCCGTGCGCGCCCACATTGTGGGGATGTCTGTTCGCGCAAGGTGATGGAGTTTTGAACGGGCGCTCGTTTTGCACTTCCGGCTCCACTTTTTTGAGAGCTTCATTGTCGCCGCGGCATAGCAGGCATAGCATTTCATCACCTCAAGGAGGAGCCGCCAGGGTGTAGGACATTTGGCAGTTCGCGTCGATGTGATGGGAATGTCCAGAGCGAAGCGTTCGTTTTGCACACTCTCCTTTGACTGTTGTACGGCCTCCGCGGCATAGCATGATGCCCTTTCGTACCAAGATTGTGGGGATGTCTTGGGAGAACCGCTGGTTTGGCATCCCCAACTCTTCTCCTCTGAGAGCCTCGTGATCGTCGGGATAATAACAGGCGTAGCACTTGACCACCTCAAGGAGGAGCCGCCAGCGGATATTGCACTTGCCCGTTCTCGCCCATATTGCAGGGATGTCTCATGCGGCCAGCTGGCTTTGGCTCCCCCCCGACTCCTCTTCGTTCAGAGCCTCACGGTCGCCGCGGTGCAACTCGCACACTGCTTGGACACTCCGGTCGGGGGGAGCGACGGGCGGTGTGACACCTGCCAATTCGAGCCCATCGCGCGGGGACGTCTCGGGCGAAACGCTGGACCGGGCACCCCCGGCTCCCGTCCTGCCTCAGAAGCCAGGCGACGGCTGGTAAACCCGTGGCTGCTAAAACGGAGCTCCGGGAAATTGTTCTCCTCTTCCTTCCAGGAAGTAGCCCGTTTTACTATTCAGTGCACTGAGCTTGATTCCGGGCCGGGGACTTTTTTCCCCCCTTCCGCCAAGACCGTTTCAGCAGCCACGGATTTGCCAGCCCTCGCCCAGCCCCCAACTGTCAGAGGTCCAAGGACCACCCTGGCGTGGCAGGCACGGCGCTTCGGCACCTCGGGGTGGAGCCGCCGAGGGAGCGCCAGAGCCGCCACGGGCCGAGGCTCTCTCGCCCAGGCGCCGCGGGGAGTGCCGGGAGGTGCGGTGCACCTCTGGGCCTCCCCGCGCCGCGTGGGCCGGATGGGTTCCGCCGCTTCCGCACTGCTGCGGCGGCGCTGCCGCTGCCGGCCAGGGAGCACGCGCGCTGCCCGGCCAGGCACGCCGCGGGGGCCGAGCGCGCCGCCTCTTTTCCCGGATCGGGCGGCGCCGGGTCCGAGGCAGGAGTCTATGCAGAACCACCGCCCGGAGGAGCAGTTTTCGGGGGCCTCGGCAGGCGGTGGATATGCAGTATCGTTTGTCCGATCCCCACCCCCATCCCCATCCCCTTCGAGGCCCCCACCACATGACCACCCCAGTTGGGGATGCACCCCTCGAAATCCGAAGGGAACGGCCTATCTCCCCATCTAGGGGTAAATCGGCCAGTGGGGCCCAGGCCACGCCGCTGGGGATGGGGATCGGATAAACGATACTCAGATATGGACACATTCGGGCCCCCGGGGCACCAGGACGTCGGGGCACCAGGACGTCGGTTCCCAGGCGGTGGATGTGGATAAATCCCCGCCTCGCACCGAGGAGACCCTGGTGGGCGCGGGATGGGGGCAGGCAATGGAGGATGGCTCGTGCGCCCGTCGGTCGTTGAAAGGAGGCATTTCTGGATCTTTCGGATCCCGAGCTGCTTTGGGCGCCCTCCTACCTCAAGAGTCTACAGTCATCGGCCTGACCTCAGGAACGATAGATAAGGAACGAAGCCTCTTTTTTCCCAACGAGTAACGCATAAGGAACGATAGACAATACATAACGCATAAGGAGCGATAAACAATGCATGCACATCCAAGGAACGATCGAGCCCCTTTTGAAAAGTTAGTGTTCCTTATTCAAGCCGCTCACTCTAGCGCTTCTCTCTCGTTTCTCCTCCTCAGGGGGCGGGCCAAGGCACACTTCTTCCGACCGACGGGCACGGTAGGTTCGCGTCGTGTCGACCAGCGGCGATGCCGCGCGGGCGTTTAGAGGTTGAACGCGGCCCTTTTCCCGCCTTTTCTCGTCGTCCTCCCACATCCCCTCTTCGCCTGCAATTCGAGTTTACGTGTGTGCGGTCTTGGATGCAGATGCGAGTTGCTTAGTGGCCTCATTTCTCCAGTGCTTCTCATGTCTTCCGACGCGAATTCGCAAGCTCCTGCTGAGTTGTTGGCTCGTCTAGAACAGGCGATGCCAGAGCATTTTGTGATTCCGTTGGGGTGCCACGGGCTTCGACTTGTGTTTTTCCCCCACCACGACAGGCGTTCAGAATGTGTTGCGCGACATCTGGAGCTGATCATGCCGTGTTGGAACTGATCATTTCGTTGAGCAGCAATACCGATGAATTTTTGGAATAGATATACAAATTGTGCATCCTGTGGCCGAGGTGATGGGTAGTATCGCGCAAACGCATGTGAGGCAAATTTGCCCCTTCTTTGCGTAACGTTCCATTCTCAAACCAATGGGGCTTGTAGGTGAGTCCCGCCTGCGGGCAGTGCAGCATCCACCTTTAGGACACGTTGGCTTTGTGGCCCTTCTTCCTGCCCGGCTCCCACACTTTCTCTGCCTTTGATCTGGACTGGCCAGCAGCGGCGACTTGCCCCTCGTGTGCCGCTCGCTCCCGGGCGTGGAGCTGTAGGCTGAGCTGAGGCGACGTCCTGTTGCGGTCGCCCCCGCACCGCGTGTGCCTCCGTGCCCTTACGCTCCCGCCGCTCCAGAAACTGGTGGGAAGGATTCGCTTTGGGCCGCTCTTGCTGCTTGTCTGCCCACCTGTCTGCAGTTGCTCGGGGAGAGCAGGAGGGACAGAGATGGGGAGCACGAAGAGGTAGTGGGGTTTCGAACAGTGCAGCGGAAGAAGGTGGACACTGCTGTTTTTTGTTTGCGCGGTCGCAGTACCTTGAGACTAGCGTCCTTGCAACTTGCCGTTTGCAGTCCGAGGCCGAAGGAAAAGCCGTGTGAATATCCAACTGTCTGCGGCAAGGCCCGCCACCGTGCCAGCTCAGCATTGTGGGTGGTGATCGTTCGAGGGGCCACTTGAGGCCATCACGTGTGACACCTCGTGTCTACAGGATTGGTTGGGATGATGATAGTTATGATGATGATGCTGATGATAATGACGATGCTGCTGCTGATGATGATGATGCTGCTGCCGATGATGATGATGATGATGATGATGATGATGATGATGATGATGATGATGATGATGATGATGATGATGATGATGATAATGATGATGATGCTGATGATGATGATGATGATGATGATGATGATGAGGATGATGATGATGATGCTGCTGCTGATGATGATGGGGTGGTGGTGATGATGATGATGAGGATGCAGATGCTGCTGATGATGATTATGATTATGCTGATGCTGATGATGAGGGCGCTGATGATGCTGATGATGATGATGATGAGGATGATGAGGATGATGATTGATGATGGTGATGCTGATGATGATGGTGGTGATATTGACGACGATTGTGATTATGATGATGATGATGATGATGATGATGATGATGATGATGATGATGATGATGATGATGATGCTGATGATGATGATGATGATGATGATGATGACGATGAGGGTGTTGATAGTGTTGATGGTGTTAATGCTGATGGCGATGCTGATGCTGCTGCTGATGATGATGATGATGATGATGATGCTGATGACGATACTGATGGGGTTTATGCTGCTGATGATGATGACTTCGATGATGATGACGATGCTGAGGAGGTTCAGGACGAGGACGATGAGAATGGAACGGATGATGCTGATAATGCTGATGCTGATGATAGTGATGATGATGCTGATCATGATGATGCTGCTGCTGATGATGATGATGATCATGATTGGGTGGTGGTGATGATGATGTGGATGCAGAAGCTGCTGATGATGATTCTGATTATGCTGATGCTGATGATGAGGGGGTGGATGATGATGATGAGGATGATGAGGATGATGGTGGTGATATTGACGACGATTGTGATTCTGATGATGATGACGATGAGGGTGTTGATAGTGTTGATGATGATGATGATGATGTTGATGGTGATGTTGATGCTGCTGCTGATAATGATGATGATGATGATGATGATGATGATGCTGCTGCTGATAATGATAATGATGATGATGATGATGCTGCTGCTCAAGAGCATGTACGGCACGAGCGATGCGGCGGCTAACCTCGCAGACAAGGTGATGGAGGTGCTGCGTGAGATGGGTTTTAAGATTGGTGTCTTCTGTCCGTGCTTGTTCCGGCACGACGAGAAGGACATTTCGTTGGTTTACCACGGGGGCGATTTCGTGAGCGAGGGCGACGGCAGCGTCCAGGAGTGGTTCAAGACGGAGCTGTCCAAGAAGCTGCTGGTGAAGGTGCGTGGGATACTCGGCTGGGACGACGGCGACTTGCGGGAGGTCGCGCTGCTCAACAGGATCGTCAAGCTCACCGAGACCGAGGCTGGAGTTCCGTGTTTGCAGTGGGAGGCTGACGCCCGTCATGTCGATATCGTCCTGGCGCAGCTGAAGCTCGGAGCAGACAAGGGCAGCAAAACAGTAACATCGCCGTGCATCAAGAGGACGGCCGAGGAGCTGTTGGAGTCACTGGCACTCGGTACTACCGATGCCGCTCTATCTCGCAGCGTTTGCATGAGGATCAACTACCTGGCGATGGACAGGATCGACCTCCTCTTTGCGGCGAAAGAGGCGGCACGATGGATGAGCAAGCCAACTCAGATCGCCCTGGAGATGGTGAAGAGGATCGGGCGCTACCTGATGCGACGACCTAGGCTAGTGCAGCAGTTCGTGCAGCAGACCGAGTCAGACCGCCTGACTGTGGCGTGCGACTCGGACCATGCATGTTGTGTGCTGACGAGGAAGAGTATTACGGGTATCGCACTGTGCCATGGCGCGCATCTGCTGAGGGCGAGTGCGAACACCCAGTCAGTAACAGCACTGTCGAGCGGCGAGTCCGAGTTCTACGCGATCGTGAGAGGGACAAGCGTTGGGCTCGGAGCTCAGAGCATGTGCAAGGATTTCGGCCTCAAGAAGGAGCTGATCGTCGAGACAGATGCTACCGCCGGGAGCGGCATGGCGCTCAGGCTTGGCGCAGGGAAGGTCCGGCACCTACATGCGCAGTGCTTGTGGGTGCAGGCTATCTACCGCCAGAAGCTCGCCCGGCTGAACAAGGTGCCAGGCGAACTCAACACAGCGGACATGATGATTAAGCACCTGAGCGGTGACATGATCGATTCTATAGGCTTACGCCACATCCGCCGACCCCTTCTTTTTTCCCTCGAGGTACCGTGTGCCACAGCTTTTGGAAGTCGCGGGAGAGTGATGCCGGTTTCTTCGCAACGAGAAGGTGTGCCGAAATTGGCCGCAAATTGGCCCAAGGAGGATTCCAGATGGCCCGAGCGAATCCCAAGGCGGCCCAAGGAGGGCCCCACAGGGCCCCAACGGTCCCGAGTGGCCTCTTTCACAAGGGCAGTGTCCTCCGACCTCCGGAGGTCCATCAAGATATGCATTTGGTCTTCGGCTCAGGGTCAGAGCGCAGTGCTCCTTCGAGTTGTGTCCAGCCGCGGCGAGGGGGGGGGCGCCTGAAGACACTTGCGCATTTCCTTCATTGAGCCGGGTCCGTTTTATTGCCGTCCTGGAGCCTTTCTGGGTTGTCTCGGGGGTTTCTGTGGCGGTCTAGGGGGCCCTCGGCCCATCCCCGAGTCATCTTGGGGGTCCCCTTGGAGCGCTCCTGGTTCTTCCAGGTGGCTTTCTGGCAGTCTTGGAGCGCTCTAGGGCCACTGACAGACGCGCGGGCAGTCCTGTAGCACAGGGGGGCGCTTACCTTCGCAGACGCTGGCGGTCAGGTGTCGCGGGCAGTGCGCGATCCGGTGCTGGCATGGAGTTTCATGACTGAGAGATGGTGGCTCGATGTTGAGCATGTCGCCAACGATGGAGATGGCACTGGAGATATTGACATTGGACACATTGGGTGGCGAGTGAACCCGAGGCGCTCTTGGAACCGTCTTGTGCCATTTTTGAGGCTCGTCGTTGTCGTCGTCGTCCTCCGCCGGATTGTTCCCAGACCTCCGAGCGGCGTGGCTCCGGAAAGATAGCAGAGGTTTTCGAAAAGTATACCGTGCAATTCCAATAAACGTCCCTGAGGCGATTAAGGCGGGAAAAAGGATGTGTACCCATTGCGGTTCAATATTCGCGTTCCAGGGGCGCGCGCGCTGCCATTCCCGTCTCCGCATGTACGCGATGCCTAGCCCTTTTTTGTTTTCAAAGGGGCCTCGTGGAACCCGCACTTTTGCGCCGCGAGCCAGCGCTCGCGCCCGCGCACTTGTAGGCCCGGGGGCAGCTCGCCCGTTGTCGTGCGGCTGGGCATTCAGCGGTTGTGTACGCCGCGTGGTTCAACGACTTGTTTCATTAGTGTCGCGTACCCCATCATGCCACATCGGGCCTCATAAGGAAGGTTGCGACGGTTTACGCGAAGCGTCTGCCCGCGCCGTATGTTTAGTGGTCTGTGTTGCGGTGTTTGTAGAGCAGTTGTAGTGATAGTAGTAGTGGTAGTAATAGTCGTAGAAGTAGTGCCCGTAAGGTTAGTAAGAGTCGTTGAAGTCGTAAGGAGGGGAAGGAGGAGGATAAGGAGGGGGAGGAGGCGTACGCGGAGGTTGAGGAGGAGTCCTTGTTTTCACGTCGGGGCCCGATGGGGTTGTTCGGATCTCGGTGCCCGATCGTTTCCTCACAGATTGGCTTTAAGTCCTGAGCTGCCTTGGAGGGCGCCACAGCCGTGCGCGCGGACAAGGGGGGGGGGGGGGGCGCCGAGGTAGGTTCGACCTTCGAGTTTCGAGGATCCGGGTTCGAGGAAGTCTTTTCTTGCGTTCGGCCTCCGGGGGGCGTTTCGGGCGGCCATGGGGGAGCGATCCTGGGCGGAATGCTTGGGGTCCGGAGATTGATTTGGCCGGGATTCCGTGGGCTTCGAGTGGGATGATGCGCGTCTTGATGCAAGCCTCGAGGATCGGGGTTGGATGCCTTCTGGTTCTCGGGGGCTCTCCCCGTCGGTCGCGGCTTGGCGCGCTCGAGACACTTGTCAGGTTGGACTCTGGGAGGGGACCGGGGGTCGTCGTCGTCGTCGTCGTCGTCGTCGTCGTCGTCGTCGCCGTCGTCGCCGCTGTCGTTGTCATCCCCCCTCCGGCCCCCGGTGCCGGACGAGCGAAGGGAGGGCTGGGGGTTGGCGGTCGACGGTTCGTCCATATCCCTGCGAGGTAGGGAACCAATAGGAATCTCGAGGGGATATTAGGAATCTGTAGGGAATCCAAGGGATCTCAAGTAAATCTGAGGGATCTCTAGGGAATATGAAGAATCTCTAAAGAATATTAGGAATCTCTAGGGGATCCAATCCAATTCTAGGGATCTTAGGACTCACGTGGGTATCCTAGGAGTCTCAAGGGTTTCAAAGGAATCTCTAGGGCATCCTAAGGACCTTTAGGAACCCCTAGGAATATCGAAGCAATCGTAGGAATCTCTCGGGAAGCCTTTGATTCCATCCCACTCTCATAGTAAACCATCCTTCCATCCCACTCTCATAGTAAACCACTTCCATCCCTCTCCTCCGCCGCCGTCCGCGGAGGAGATATGGGGACAAGAAGTATGACGTGCAGGAGTGGTAGGGGGGGGGGGGGAGGAGGCGAAGGAGGAGGAGGAGGACGAGGAGGAGGGCAACCAGAGGAGGACTAACGGGCAAGCCAGTGGCCTTTCGCGCTCAGGGGAAGGGCGTCGCGGGGTCTCTCCCGG